CTATGGCTCCAAGGGTGAGTGTGGGTTGAGCCTGGGGCCTCAGGGGGAGTGGGGGGTCTATGCCTATCCGAGAGGGGTCAGAGGACAGAGTGAGGAGGTCCCCCACCCAGATTAGTTCATGTTTGCCTGCCTGACAGGGTAGGTAGGGGTATAGGGAAACACAGAAGAGGGTGAGAACCCTGTGGAGGGGTGGGAGGGGGCAGATTGCAACCTGCCTCCTACCATATCTGTCCCTTAGGGTAGGTAAAGGGTTTGGCAAGGAAATAGGGGAACTCACGTCAGTGGTGGTCTCAGCTGCTTCCCATTGTGGCTGTTCTTTAGCTTGGGTACAGGGAGTGATGCAGAGCTTGGGTGACAGAGGCAGGGGACGGTCTCCTCCATTGTGGGTGCTTCCCAACATGGCTCCCACCATAGGGTGGGTACAGGGTGCCTCGAGGGACCCAGGCACTGATGATCTCCCCCTCAGGTCTGCTGCAAGGCCGGCGGGCACTGCTGGTGCACGCGGCAGAGCCGGTGGCGGAGCGGGCAGCGTGTGCCTTGATGGCAGCTCTGCAGTCACTGGGGCTGACGGTGGTGGCAGCGCCGGGGGGTGGCAGTGGGGTAGCGGCTCTGGGGCCACTGCCCTGGCTGCACGCCCAGCACCACCGGGCACTGCGTGACAGTGACACCATCATCCTGCTCCTCTCTCCGGCAGCCGTGGCTGCTGCACGGCAGTGGGACGCAGGGGCCAGGGTTGTGCCAGAGTCCAGGGCTGCTGAAAGCAGCCTTGGGCCCCGGCAGAACCCTGACCCTGATGATGTCCCCTCTGTGGCACCCTGCGAGGTGTTTGCGGCGGCTCTGTCCTGTGCCATGCCAGTGCTGGCAGTGGCCAAGGGGCACTACATGGTGGCCCGGCTGGAGGCCCTGGTGCCGGCAGTGCCCCCAGCGCTGCGGGCAGCCCCTGCATTCGCACTGCCCAGCGAGGTGGAGGGGTTCTTGCGAGCACTGGCAGGCCCAGCTCAGCAGAGGGGCCGGTGTCTAGAGCCTTATGTGGTGGCGGTGGCCGAGGCTCTGCAGCGGGCTGTAGGACAATAAAGGGGTGACAGTGCTTTTGCTGAGTGTGATTCCAGCTCTGAGTCCAATGGGGACTGGGATGGGCTGGGAAGGGGTGATGGGGTGGACTCGGGTGGCATGGAGAGGGATGATGGGGAGGTAGAGGGGGGTGGGGACAAGAGGGGGGCTGGGCTGTTTGGGGCGTGAAGGGGAAGGGGGCTTTTTGATTGGAGGGTGGATGGGGAACTCAACTAGTTTGGGGTGGTGATTGGGAACTGGACCAACTCATTGAGGGATGATTGGCAACTGGGACAATTTGGGGGAAAGTGTGAGAACAAACTGGACCAGTGTAGGGTGAGACGAGGTAACCAGGCAAATTTGGGTACAGTGAGAGGGAACTGGACCAGCTTGATTGGAGGGGGCAAAAGTGAAGCCACCTGATTTAGCTGGAAGTGAGGGGGGGTGTTTAGAGGCCAGGTGAGGTCCGGGCCGGTGCGGAGCGCTCCGGGCAGCCGGCCCCGCTCCGTGCGGAATCACCGACTGCAGCCCGCCCGCACCGCCCCCGCCCCGGGCCTTTGCCCGCGGCCCCTTTAAGGCGCGGTGGGCGGGCCCGGGGCGCGGCGCGGATTGGCTGGGAGCGGGGGGCCGGCGGCGGCGGCGCGCAGCCATTGGCGGGGCGGCGGGCGCTGAGTCAGCGGGCGCGGCCCACGTGGTGCGGGCGGGGCGGGCGGACGATGGCGCCGCTGCCGCGCTCGCCCGGGCGCGGGGGGCCCGGGCTGGGGGCCGCCCTCCTGGGGGCCGCCCTCCTCGCGGGGGTCCTGCTCGCCGTTCACGCCGACCCCGACTCCCACCGAGACGGGGCCGAGCCGTGCCGAACTTGCCGCGGCCTCGCCGACAGCTTCATCAGGGTGCGCGGCGGCGGGGCACAGGAATGATGGAGGCCGCGGCGAGGGGGCACACGGGGCGTGATGGCACCGAGGGGTGTGGGTTTACACAGCCGCTGCTTCGGGGGGGGTCTGGGGCGAGGGGACAGTGACGGGAGGGGCCCACGGGTGGCAGACGTGGGGGACACGGCCTGGAGGTGACAGAGGGGAAGAAGGGGGGCTGGGTGGGGTGATGGGGTTGGGGGGCCCAGAGGCATCCCGGGCCGGGGGATAAGGGTGGTGACGGGGCCCGCTGGCGGGGTGGTTCGCGGGGGACAGAGGTGAAGTGGAGGCACTCCTACAGCATTCGCAGGGACACAGTGACTGAGCTCTGGGGAGGGGAGAGGGTGGCAGGTCCCTGGAGATGATGTGTCTTGTGGAACCCTACGGATGAAAGTTACTGGGGGGGTTCCATACCTGCACTGCCACTCCCCCATGCACCCAGGGCCTGGAGCGGACAGAGCATGAGGGCTTTGGTGGAGGTAACACAGCCTGGGAGGAGGAGAAGCTGTCCAAGTACCAGCACAGGTAAGTGACCCCAGTGAGGGGCTGGGGGAGCCCAGCTGCTCCAGAAGTCATACCCCACACTGGCTTGTGTCCCTGCAGTGAGACTCGTCTGCTGGAGGTGCTGGAGGGTGTCTGTGCCCCCTCGGACTTCGCCTGTCACCAGCTGCTGGAGCGGAGTGAGGAACACGTGGAGCAGTGGTGGTTCCATGAGTGAGTGTGGGGGCACAGACAGGGGGATGGGCAAGGGGCACAGGCAGATGGCAGGGGGCTGAGTGCTGTATCTTCCCCTCCCCAGGCAGCAGCAGCACCCTGACTTTTTCCAATGGCTGTGTGTGGACAGTCTGATGCTTTGCTGCCCGCCTGGCACTTACGGCCCGGACTGCCGGTGTGAGTAACTGTGGGATGAGCGGGGTGCTGGTGGGGCTGGAGGGACTCCCCTGGCTGCTGCCCTGTGTCCCGGCTGCCAGCCGGCTGGTCTCTCCCCACGCAGCCTGTGCCGGCGGGCCCCAGCAGCCCTGCAGTGGCAATGGGCGATGTGATGGTGACGGCACACGCCGCGGCACTGGCCTCTGCGTCTGCAGCCCGGGCTACGGTGGCCCCTTCTGTGCCGAGTGCGGTGATGGCTACTATGAGGCCTCGCGGAACAAGAGCCACCTCGTGTGTGCTGGTAGGTGGGGGCTCTATGGGTGCTGTGCAGCCTGGGCACAGGCAGCTCCCCCCTGCCTGTGCCCATGTGTCCCTCCCTGCCCGCAGAGTGCTACCAGGCGTGCGGGCGCTGCACGGGTCCCGAGGACTCCAGCTGCCTTCGCTGCAAGAGGGGCTGGGTGCTGCATGAGCACCGCTGCATCGGTGAGTGAAGGCCAGGGATGAGCTCAGGGCCATGGGGGCTTCGTCCCCGGAGCTGAGGCTCAGCGGGACTGTCCCCATCTCTCCTGCAGATATAGATGAGTGTGGCACAGAGATGGCGCATTGCCGAGCCAACCAGTACTGCGTCAACACAGAGGGCTCCTACGAGTGCCGAGGTCAGGGGGAGGTGGGGAGTTTTCATGCAGGTGGCTCTTCCCTGCTGGGGGCCAGCCCTGGCTGGGCTGGGAAGGAGCTCCAGCAGCAACCCTGGCTCCTTTCCCTGAGGCAGACTGCTCCACGGCTTGCATCGGCTGCATGGGCGCCGGGCCAGCTCGCTGCAAGAAATGCAACAAGGGCTACTGGCGGGATGGAGCCAAGTGCTTGGGTGAGTGCCTTCTGTGAACTGGGTGGCTGTACTGCCCCCTCTTCACTGCCCAAGCCCTGCCTGAGCCCTGTCTCCCCCCCAGACGTGGATGAGTGTGCCAGTGCTGAGGAGCCAGTATGCACAGGGGTGCAGGAGGTGTGTGAGAACACAGAGGGCAGCTACCGGTGCGTCTGTGCCCAGGGCCATGTCCGCCGAGACGGGCAGTGCGTTGAGGACAAGCCCCCTGGTATGGCCTAATGCAATGCAGGGGGACATTGGGCAGGGGGTGTGGGACGTGGTGGGGGGCTCTTGCTGGTCAGCTGTGCCCTCCTATGAGTGTTGTCCATGCAGATGCCCCAGAGAAGGGCTTCTTTGATGACGTGACTGATGACGAGGTGGTGGTGCTGCAGCAGATGTTCTTTGGTGTGATGATCTGTGCCCTCGCCACGCTGGCTGCCAAGGGCGACATGGTCTTCACCGCCATCTTCATTGGCGCCGTGGCCGCCATGGCCGGCTACTGGCTCTCTGACCGCAGTGACCGTGTCCTCGATGGCTTCATGAAGGGCAGATAGCTCTGGAGCTGCTGGGCACAAGCAGAGGGGCAGACTCAGCTTGGGGTGCAGGGCCTCCCCCAGGCAGGGCTGGCTGCCAAGGCTGCATCCTGTAGATGATGCTGTGCCCTGCATGTGTCCCCCAGCCCCCCCTTAGCATAGGGTCTTGTTTTCCCTGTCCCTGCAGAATGAGCCAGGAGTACCTGATCCTGGGGGCTCTCACACAGCCCTCTCTGGCTGGAGGGGTGATGCCAGGCAGTGCAGCATCGTGTGGGGGGCACAGCATGCTGCCCCCAGCTCCTTGTGCTCTGGAGGAGAGGCCTGGCATTGTGACAGGTGAGGGGGTGGAGGGGCAGGTGAGGGAGGGAACCTGCTATGTGCCCCCAGGCTGGGGCTCCTGGCCCTGTAAGACTCCCCTCCCATAAGGCCATTCCCTGTGGGAGAGTGGGGGGCTGGGTCCCTCCATGTCCTGAGCTGTGTGGCTGGAAGAGCTGCCCCCATCCCTGGGCAGAGCCCATCTCCCCTCCCAGGCTGGGGGCCAGGGGCCCCTCGCCACTGGCAGGGTGCTGTGCTGGTGACGGGGCCCTGCTGGAATGCATGAGTGTGGCCATTGCATTTGTCCGTGGTTTGTCCGTCGGGGTGTGCCCATCTGTCTGTGTGTCCATATCTCAGGAAATAAAGCTCTGCACACCCAGCTTGGCTGCTCAGGGTGGGAACTGGTGGGGATTGGGGTGCTGCTGCCCACCACCACTTTCCCATGCCAACAGGACCATCTCCTCCTAGCATAAACTCTTTTATTTCTCTCATTTGGCACAAATGGAACCGCCCCTGCCCGGCCCTACCGGGGCACAGGATCAGACCCCCGCACCCTCACTGTAGGCTCATCGTCCTCCTGCGCCCCCAGTCTCTGCCTGTGCCGGGCTCAGAGCTCAATGGTGTCGCTGGAGAGGCTGCGGGAATCCACCGCCCTGCCAAGGGCTGGGAAGGCGCGGGGACCCTCGTGCTCCCCGCCGGCGGCTCCAGCGGGCACCAGGAGAGGGACCCGGCTGGGCGCCTCGTCCAGGTGCAGGCTGTCGGGCGAGGACAGCCCATGGCGCCAGGGGTTCCAGCTGATCTTCAGTGAGCTGCTCTCCAGCGAGCTGGCTGAGGCGGTGACAGTGACAGTGATGGTCCCGTGGGGCTGGCGGGGGCCGGGCAGCTCCGTGAGCGAGCTGCAGCGCACCATGCGCCCCAAGCTGGGGGTCTGGTCAGGGGCTGGGGAGCCGTGCAGTGAGGAGCCGGAGCCGCGGCGGGGCCGGGCGAAGAGGCCGTCGTGCAGGAGGTGGCGGCGGCAGAGCGCCTGGTCGATGCTGCGGCGCAGGTCGATGGGGGACGGCGGGCGGAAGATCAGCTCTCCCAGGGAGGGGGACGAGCCCTGCTCAAAGGCGGCGCAGGAGCGGGCGGCCAACATGTTGGGGCACTTGGGGCTCAGCCCCGGCATCCCGGTGCCGGCTGCCCAGACCTCGTTGCTGTCCTTCAGAGCCCGCAGGGGCAGCTGCTCCGCCGGGTTGCGGATGAGGTTCTTGGAGATGTCATTGGCGGGCGTCCGCTCCGCACCGGTGCCGCCGGTGCTGCCACCGGCCCAGTCGTAGCAGTTGTTGGGGTATTCGGGCGCTTCAGCTTTGCGGCCGGCGCAGAAGTACCGCAGTGCCTTGGCCCAGCAGGAGTGCCCGGCCGGGCTCCGGCGGCGGCACCGACAGCGCACAGGCTCGGCGGCGGCCGCCAGCAGCGCCAGGGCCGTGCCCAGCTCGCCGATCCGCAGCCAGAGCTGTGCCGCCCAGCTGGGCCGGGAGAAGCGCCCGTGGGGCCCCAGGGCTCCTCGCAGCCACACAGCGCCGAAGAGCTGCAGCCCGCAGACCGGCAGCCCCGCCACCGCCGCCGCCAGAAGCGCCCGCGGCCCCGGCTGCGGCCCCGGCCCCTCGCAGGGCGCCCGCAGCAGCCGCCAGCACCCCCAGAGCCCCCCCAGCAGCAGCAGAGCCCCCGCCGCGCAGCCCAGCGCCTGCAGCCCCAGCGCGGCGCCCAGCCCCAGCCGCGGCGGCAGCAGGTCGGCGGTCCCCATCACCGCGCTCTGCAGGGCCGCCACAGCCCCCAGCGCCGGCAGCCCCCGCAGCCGCGACGGCAGCAGCTGGAGCTGGGCCAGGCGCTGCAGCCGCTGGAGCAGGAGGGCGAAGGCGGCGAGCAGCAGGGGGAAAGGGGCTGTGTGGAGCAGCAGCAGGGCCGGAGCGGGCAGACGGCCCCGTGCCCCGTAGGGATCCAGCAGCAGGAAGGTGGCCCGCAGCAGGCAGGCGGCCAGCAGCAGCCCGTGGGCCCCCGCAACGTGGAAAAGGTGTGGGGGCCGCAGGATGGCTGTCCCCGCCAGCCCGGCCAGGCAGCCCAGCGCCAGCAGCAGGAACACGGCAGCCACTCCATAGACATGAGCCTCCCAGGAGAAGCCCAGCTGGTGCTGCAGCTCGGCCCAGCGCAGCCCGGTCGCGTTGGCCACCGGCGCCGGGGGGGCACGGTCTGTGGAGTGTGGCTGCGGCGATGATGGATCTCGGGGGACTGGCTGAGGCGTCATCTCTGCCCGTCGCCACGTGGCCGAGGGGGTCGCAGTGCTGGGGCTTGGGGTCTGCGTCCCCGGCGTGTCTGCAGGTGGGAAGGAGGAGGACAGTCAGGGGGAACTGGGGGGTTTGGTGGCACTCGTCCCACACCTGCACCCCGCACTGGGCTGCATCAAATGCGGCACCCCAACACTGCAGCGGGGGATGCCCTGTGCTGGCTGGGGTTACGCCCACCGCTGCCTCCCGGGGTTTTCTCTCAGGACGCGCAGTACAAGGGGTGGCACAACCCCGGTCACGTCCCCCGTCCCCTTGGGGAAGCCCCCACCCACCGAGCATTTAGCGCTAATCCCTGCGGGCAAGAGTAGATTAGGGCCGCTGTCAGGTGGCAATCCTGATTGAAGGTGTCACTGTGTCCCGGCTGGGCAGCCCAAGATAGCTGCCATCCCCCTCGCCAGCCCCGACCCCCCAGGGATGGGCTCCCACAGCATCTGCAGAACGGATGGGTTGGGCGCAGCCCTGTATCACCTGGGTGCCTTGTCCCGAGCGTCCCCGTGGTGGGATGTGCCGTTGGCTGTGGGGTCGTATTGGTGTCATTTGGGACACTCACAGGGCCCACGGCGCCCCGGACCTGCTGCGGGGAGCCGACGTCCTCCTCGGGCAGCAGCCCTGCGAGAGAGAGCAGAGCAAGGCAGTGACACATGCGGGCGCTTGGTCCCCGCCAAGGGATCCCCCCGCATTGCACTGGCTCCTACCTCTGCTCGGGGTACCAGGGGTGGCCGTGCTGGAGGAGGAAGGTGGCGCAGGGCCGGTGCTGAGGACAGACCCTGGGACGGGCTGGGGTCCCTGCTGCCCCGTAGTCCCAGGGTCTGTCCGGGGGCCCGCATCGCCGGGGCTGGTGGTGGCGTGGCTGAGTGGAGCCCTCCGGGTGCTGCGCTGATGGGACGGGAGCGCTCGAGTCCAGGGCTCAGCCAGCCCCCAGGACTGGGCAGTGTGGTGCAGCTGTGGGGCAGAGCTGGGCAGAGCCGGGGAGGGGCTGGGGGGCTCTCCCGTGTCCCCCCAGCTGCCCACCAGCTGCACAGAGCCAGGGCTGGCATGGAGACCCCAGTCTGGCCCCGTGCCTGTGGGATCAGAGACGGGGGCTGTGCCCAGCGGGACCGACTGGCTGCTGGCTGGAGTGCGTTGTGCATCCTGAGAGAGGCCCGGGACCACTGTGTGTCCCTCTGCCGCTGTGTGTCCCGCTGTCCTCATGCCCGCTGCCAGCGTGGGGTCCAGGTCAGTGGTGGATACGGTTGGCTGAGGGCTGGGGGTCTTGGAGATGCTGTGCCTGGACAGGGAAAGGCCCTGCCCTGCCCAGGGTGGCCCTGGAGAATCTGCCCCTCTGTCCATGGGCACCTCAGGGCCCAGTGTACTCAGTGCAGAGCCATGGGGCAGGGAGCTGTCCTGGCCTTCCGCTTCGTGCCCTTGCCAGGCAACGAGTGGCTCCTCTGTCACAGCCAGGACTGTGCTGCCATCCCTCCAGACCTTGGTATCAGCGCCTGTCATAGTGGTTTCCATCTCCAGGGGTGCCCTGGTGCCATCCCCTGCCTGCAGTGGCAAGGACCAGTGCACGGGGTGCTTGACCCCCCAGCGCTCACTCCTTGGGGCCCCGGCACCACTCGGATCCCCCGATGCCTCCCAGGTGGGGGATGGGCCTGGCCACTGCTGTCCCCAGGCAGGGCGGTGCAAGGGGTCCCCACCTAAGGACAGCCCTGCTGGCAGCACCCCCTGGGCCTTGGCAGGGACTCCGGTGGCCAGGAGCATCCCCCAGGTGACAAGCTGTGCTGCAGCCATGGTGAGTTGACCCTGTGGGAATGGGGATCCGGTGAGCCAGGATCCGTGGCAGCTGCCTAGGTTACTCTTGCAGCTGGCTGTGATGCTGCTGTGCCTTGGCGACCCACTGCCCAGGGAGAGAGACAGTGGCTTGGCTGTCCCTTTCCGGGTAGCCCCGGGCTCTGTTCCCAGCTGTCCCTGTCCCCAGTGGCCCCGTTCCCAGTCTTCCCTTTCCCAATGTCCACTGGTGTTCCCCATCCCGGTGTCTCCAGTGTGGGTGGTCCTTGGTGCTTAGTGGTCCTGACCCCCAACATCCACGGTGTCCCTTTCCTAGTGTTCCATCCTCAATGTCCCCTCCCCAGTGCTCAGTCCTGGCGTCCCTCTCGGTGTCCCCTCCCCGGTTCTCCATCCCCAGTGTTCTCGCCCGATGTCCCCGCCGCTGGCGGCCCCGCTCCGCCGCGCGCCGTTCACCTTGGCGCGTCCCGGCCGCATCCCGGCGGGGATGCTCGGCCCGGTGCCCCGCGCTGCCGCCGCACACACGGCTCAGACCCGCCGGGCCGGGAACGAGGCCGGGACCGCCAGGGTGCTGCGGCGGTGGCCCCGCGGCGCGGTGCGTGTTACCGGCGGGGCTGCGCGGCGGAGTCGGGCCGCGGCCGGTGCGGGACCACAGCGGGGCCGGCGCGGCCGCCGCATCCCGCCGACCCCACCCGCAGCGCGCCGGGCCGGCTCCACCGCTCGGTGCCCGGTGCGCGGAGCGCGGGCCGCGGTGCCGCCAGCCCCCTCCCGCCGCCCGCCGCAGCACTGGCGCCCCCAGAACTGGTGCCCCGGGAGCCGCAGCCCCCCGCGCTGACCTGCCGGTGCCGGTGCCGGTGCGGGCGGGCCGGGCTCTGCGGCGGAGCGGGCGGCGGCGGCGGCAGCGGCAGCCGGTCACGCGCCGCCCCGAGCCGCGGGCACCCGCACGGGAGCCCGCCCGCACCGGGAAGGGGGGGGCGCGGGGCACGGCCGAGGCCGCTGCCGGGACGGGATCCTCAGGGCCGGGCACGGGAGCGAACGGGTCCGTGAGGCTCAGCTCAGTCCGAGGCAGGTTGGTGTGGATTCCCGGGGACGGTTTCTCCCTGGCGCAGATCCTCCTGGACGGGGATTCCGGAGGGGCCACAGGGCAGGTTCCCGGGGGCCAGGACGCGGCGGGGCGGCGGAGAGGAGATGCTGTCCGCGGGGCGGGCAGGGTTGCTCGGCCGAGGTTGGTACCGCGCCCGCCGGGGTAGGTGGGGGAAGGAGGCAGTCGGACCCACTAGCAGAGTCCTGAGGAAGGTCCGAGGGGGCCCTGCCCCACACCTGCCCCAAACCTGCCCCACACTTGTCTCTCAAACGCCCAGCACGGATATCAGTACCCTGGCAGACACTGGGATGTGGGACCCTGCCAAGGTTAAGGTAATTAGTTAATCTGCTTAATTGTCCGGCTGGAAAACTGCCCACCCAGCTAGGGCTTGAGCTGGCAATGGTATGGCCACAAGGTCTAAAAGTCACATCAGCTCAGGACTCCATCCTGCATGGTGACACCTGCACTCCAGCTCCCTGCCTGCACCTCAGCAGTGCCTGAGCTGCTGAAGCCTTGGCAAAGTCCTGTCATCACCATTGCTCTTCTCTTGCCAGGCCAGCAGGTACGTGTGGTACCTCAGGTCCCCATGACAGCACCTGTGTGTTGGCAGTAACACAAGTGTCCCACTCTTGATCCCTGCCACCTCTCCATTCCCAGGGCACTATGTTCACCACTAGCACTGGTGGCATTTCTGGTCCCCAGTCCACTCCTCTGTGGGGTCAGGTGGCTATGGCAGCCAGCTGAGCGCAGGGTCCAGGAATTTGGGCACTGCTGGCACACTGGGCCCCAGAAGGAAACAGGCAGGCAGCTAGTCTGGGGATTAGTGCTGGGGAGGCTGCACAGGGGAGAGTGCAGGTGATCCTGCACTGCACCATGCACTGCCAGCACTGGGCACCACCGCAGCTGGATGGTCTCATCCTGAGGAAGGTGCAGCTGCAGTGCTGAGCGTGCAGTGGGACTGTGGGACGGGAGCTGGCTGTGCCCAATATGCCACAGTCATTGGAGCACCTCTAGCACAAGGCAGGGGCAGTGCAGCCACCTCCACATCCTCGGTGCTGTCAGAGGTTTCCTCCTCTGCCAAGTGACTCACTGGCAGATGAAAAGCTGAGCCCCCTGCTCTGTGCTGCTGCAGCAGCCACGTGCCTGCTGCCTGCACAGCTGGGGCACTGGGTGGAGGATGCAAACAGTTTTCTCAACTCCTCTGCCCACGGTTACTTGGGTGTCACAGGCTTTTGATCACTGTTCTCCTCCTGGGTTCTCCTCCAAGAAAGCTCCAAAACTCCAGTTCCAGAGAAAATTGCCTCAATTAAATGCCCTCAGACAAACTGGAACCCAACTTTGCTTTTTTTCTGATCATTGTGTGTGTTTTGTGGTTCTGCCCTGTGCCCTCCACAGCTCTTGGCCGTGCTGCGGGAGGAACCACCCTGCCACCTTCCCTGGTTGAAGGGTGAGACAAGACCTCTACAAACAGCGGTACTGGCAGCTCCATGGACACAAAGGCCAGGAGAAACCACACATACCTGGGGCATGGCTGATCCAGCAAGGAGCCAGGGACAGTGAGCTGGGAGTACAGGCTGGGAGGCAGGACCAGCTCCACCAGGGTGCAAGCAGATTATCTTGGAAATCTGCTACCATGCAGCATGCACACTTCCATTTCTGTCCAGCAAGGCTGGGAGAGGAGCTGACATTGTCACAGCCATATTGGGACAAATGCTCCTGTTGGCAGCTAAAACCCTGGAGGAGACCCTGAGTGGGAATAAGCAGGAGGACTGTGGGGGCCAGGGTGGCACTCTGGAGCTTCATCCCATTCACCAGGGAGGTTGTCCTATGCAAGGGGAGGCATTGCTGGCTGCTCTTGCTGTTACACCTCCATCTCCAGGGATTTTGTTTTGCACTGTGTTCCAGTGTGTGTGTGTGGCAAGGAGCTGCAGGGTCCCCAGGGCAGCCCTGCGTTGCAGCCCACAGCACTGATACTCCATCTCGGTGTGCCAAAGAGGCAGTCCCTGCTCTGTGTCTGCACAGGGGCTTACAGCAGACACCTCCAGAGGTCCCTCCAAGCTCAGCCATGTGCTGCCGAGCTCCCTGCATCCACACCAGGGGCTGCACAGAGACCTGCACCAGTCCTTGCCAATCCCAAAGTGCACGGAGTGGCAAGCCCACCAAACAGGTTTTGCCCAGCAAAGGCCGTGCTGGGGCTGCTGGGGAGGTGGGTACACAAGGGCAATGTGAAACAAACGGCCACTCCTGCTGGCAGCCATCGCCAATCCCCTTTGCTAACAGGGGGGTCCCAAGGCTCTGGGGGCTCCCCAAATCTGACTATCACCCCCCATTCTCCTTGTTAATTGACATCACTGGACCAATTTTAAGCTGGAAGGGTGAAGGTTTCCATCTTTAAACACCAGAGAGGAGCGAAAAAAAAGAATCATCCGAATTCCACAATCGGGGGGAGTTAAACAGCTAAAGAAAAGATGACTGTTCTCCTGCTGGAATGAGACTCTGCCTCTCCCAAAAAAAAATAAAAAATCTAAAAACCATAGAGACACTCACTGGACTCTGGTGAAGATGAGTTTATTAAAGCCAGAAGAAAGGGATCACAGCCATTTCCCTTGGGATGGCAAAGCTGGATAATTTGGTTTTGTGGCAGTCTGGTTTTATCAACACCAAAATGTTTCTTTTGCTGCTAGCATTTCAGATCAAAAATCAAATGTGACACCAATGCCCAAAGCAGTGGGAGCTGCCCACAGTCATAGCTGAGTACCCTGAAGAGAGTTGCTCTGTGGGAATTGGGTCTGTCCAGACATCTCATCTGCTGGATCTGCCTGTTGTATCTTTAGTTTCTGAGAACTACTGCCCTTGAAAAGGGTATGTTGGAGGATTCCTTAATCAGCAAGAGATACAAAAGACAAATAAAGTAGAAACAAAATAACCTCCTGGAATCTCTGATACTGAGGAATTTCAGCCTGTAAGGAGAAGAGATACAGTACTAGCCAAACCTGAGACTCTGGGGTTTGGTTTTCCACAGTTAAACCTCTTCCTGCCCAAAGTTCACAAACAACTCCTGAGACAAATCTGAACGTGATTGAAATCAACCAGAACAATACTACTCTACTAAAAACCTCAACTTTGACATAACAAACCAACAGAGATACTACAAGTGAGAAACAGAGTGAAGCCTTGGGCCACAGAGATAGCATTGTATCAATCTAGCTGAGGAGTTTCCAGTAGATCTCAGTGCCAAATCTGACTGAGCTGACAGTATGTTCTGCCAGCCCTCTCCTCCCCAGGAATGTCAGGTAGTCGCTGCTGTGTAAATGCAATGGTAACTCAAGCCCATGGCATCTCTGCTGGGAGTGGGGAAGTAAAGCAACACAGATCCCTTCAGCTTTCCAAGCCAGAGGAGACCCTTGCCATCTCCAACTGGGCAATAGCACTTTCAAGCATTCAGGCCTGGGTCTTGCCTCTGACTACGCAGGTAACACACCTAGAAGAATAAACTGCAACTGAAATGGTTATCCTGCACTAAGGGCTCCAAGCATGAAACAAACCCCTTCAATCAGAAGAATCACAGTCTAACAGTAAAGAGCAACAGGCTGTTTTCTGCTGAGCCAGTAGATTGACAGGATGTGGTTTCTTGGAGCTTGAGGGGCTTTGGAGGCTGAAGTAGCTTGTTTGCTTTACACCTGTTGTGCTACACAGGGAAGGTACATCGTCCTCGGGAGAGGAATCCAAGAGATACCTTTTTACACTGGAGACATTTATTGTTTTTTTAATTTCAAGACTTCTCTTCCTTCTGTTTGCAAGTTGTTGCAGGCTTTTATCAGAGTGTGGCACTGGTGTGAAATTCTTCGTAAGCCCCAGCTGAGCACTGCTGAAGATCTGCTGATGGGGAGCTGCAAAAACCGTGTCAGAGTTTTCTGAATTGAGATCAACCAAGTAGCTGTGAAGGGAATTTTTTCTGGAGCTTTCCAAGTCAGTAATCCCATTTGTCTTCCTCTGCTTCAGCCCACTGTCAGCACATCCAGAGTGTTCACCTTTCCCCTTAGTAGAGTATGTTGTCTTTCTCCTTATTACTTTTTTCCAGGGCATCCTTCCTGGACTCAGTTTTGTTTTGTTCCCTACAGCTGTCTTCTCCACCTCATGGTCTGTGGACCAGTTGCTGTGTCTTTGTCCAGGTGTAGCTTTCTGTGCAGAATGGTGGCAAACTTGAGGCTGCTGCTGCTGTAATGGTGTCAGGGGCTTAAACCCTCGAGTGCCTTTCCTGAATGCCTTCCTCATTGGGGTTGGTAGAGGCACTTCCAGTGGTACAGGACAGTGTTTCTTCTGACTACTCTCCAAAAAGTGTCTGCCAGCCCAACACATGCAAGGGTGGGCAGCACAGCTCTCTGTCTCCGAGCTGCATTTCACCCCCTGCAAAAAGGTGTTTACTCTGCCATAGGCTGCTGCAGCAATGGGGCTATCTTTGTCTCCTGAGGCTGGGTTTAGGTCGCCCTCAGATGTGCCATCTCCAGTGACCTGGTTCCTTCCAGAGGAGTCTCTGTGTTGCTGCCCCACTGTCACACAGGGGAAATGAGACCAGCCTGAACAGCTGCAAACTCCCCTGCCTGGGCAGCATGACCTGTGCAGGTGCTCCTCAGTCAGGACACAGTGTTGGCACAGCCCAGGGGAGGTCTGGAAAGATTTATCTGCTGTGTGAGGGGGCAGGCTGGCACTAGACAAAAGTGTGTGCTGTTCAGCTGAGGTATTACACGGCTTCAGGAAGCCAAGTTCTTTACACGCTTTCAGGAACTGGTCATTTAGCTGGGCTGGCAATGATTCCAGACCCTCCTTCAGCAGCTGCATACTGGATTTCATATCCAAAATCTCCACATCTTTCTGGGGAAGCAGAAAGCAGAGAAGAAGCAGTAAAAGACACACAAAAAGGCACAATAGTAAGAAAGTTTTAAGTACCATGTGTCAATTTGGTATTGACCCAAAGATTAGCAATT